GGAATTGTCAGTTATTACTTTCTCTGGCCCCCCGCAGAATGTTCATGCACATGCATGAACATAGAAATATGATAAGTATGGGAACATATGAATATACGAAGATCGTATACATGCCTCCGACGCACTCAACGACTAGCATGTAGTGCGCTGGGAAAAGATAAGGGTCACATGTACGGACTGTATAAATAGACAAATGGACACCAACCCTTGCAACCCAGAGTCAGATATGTAAGAGACGAACGCTGAGCCTTACAACCTCAGCGATAGGATAAGAATAGATAATAGAACCACGCGGAGCCTTACAAACTCTGCGATAAGATAAGAACATGCAATAGACCAATGCTGAGCCTTACACACTCAGCAATAGACGCACTAGATTTAAGGGTTGAAATTATGCATGAGTCTGGGTATATAAACCCAGGCTCAGAAGAATAAAGATCAATACGAAACTAAACACCATCATAGTGAAGTGTATTCGTTCAGGATTATTTATCGATATATAAAGAAAAACTTGATATGCGCGTGATATACATGGACCTAGGAAAAAAATTTCAAGTCTCTAGCTCTTATATCTTCTGAGATCGACGCGTTCATACATACGGACGGACGGACGGACGGACAGACAGACGGACAGGGCCAAATCGACTTAGCTCGTCGCCCTGATCAAGAATATATATACTTTGTGGGGTCTGCCACGCCTCCTTCTGCCTGTTACATACATTTAACAAAACCATTATACCCTGATTTCCCATTTTTAATGGGTTCAGGGTACAAAAAGAACATAGATATGCATGTATTTACAAATTTTTTTTAAATGTCCATATGTATAGCGCGGATATAGAGTTTATCACTAAAATTCGATAACTCATCCCGTTATTTTTTTTTATAGATATAAAACCTTATCGAAATCAGCTATAAAATTGTATCTCCTACATCTCGAAATTTTAAATGTATACTTATATGTATTTTATACAGTTTCGGTGTTTGTTAAAATTTACCCCCCACCCCTATATTTATCCCTTCAAATACTATAGACTGGTGCTTTGGCAAATGCATGCATATCCATGCTATAATCATAATCTAAAAGTTTCATGAAGATCATTTAATTATTAAATAATTAAATTCCCATAGTAAGCCACCACTGCAGACAATGCGTGCGTATGTTTGTGTACATGTGCGAATAATTATTGAAATATCAGTTGATCGAAGGGTTCAGGGGATCCCGCAGTCGAGCAGTCTCGACTAGAGCTTTCTTACTTGCTATTATTAGACTACACAATACTTTACTGCCGGTCAATTTGTTAGTCTGTATTCTTCTGATTTAAAAAATCTATAGACACGCGTAGAAGTTGTATAAAGTTGCACCCATAAATACAGTATGTCCATTAATTGTTTGCAAGTTCAAGTTCAATTTTAAAATGTTTTATTAGGAAAGACTATTTTTTTTTTTGTATTGTGTTTCAAGTATGTTTTTTTTATGTATTCTTAAGGAAATAAGTGTAAAAATAAAATAAGAATAGCAACACGTTCATTTCTTTAAACATTTTTGCCATGTCCAATGAACTCACCGATTGCAATATGTTCTATTTTAATTATACCAAAGGAAAGTCCAGCAAGTCGTTAGCAGAAATATTAAACTTAGAACAGTTAATCGAGCGGTAAAATGTAATTGACTGGAAATAAATAGCTCAAAAGTCCCAGCAAAGCTCTCAACAGGATTGTTCACATATACTAAAGACCGTGAAAGAAAAGCCCACAAATAAGCATCTGAAATTTGGTTACGAACAGTGGCGGAAACAAAAAACAGCCCTCCAGGCCAACAACCTTGTGCCTACTGTTAAGTTTGGAAAGCTTTCCGTTATAGTGTAGGACTGTATTTCTTCGAAAAGTGAAAGAGAGCTGCAAATATTTAACGATTTGATGTCTAAGGACTTTTATTTAGATATTCTAATGGACGAATCGACAGAACTTATGTGCGCTAGAAAAGTGGTCAACCGAGGTCCTACGCGTTACATAAAAGAGGAGTGCTGCAAAAACCCGAATATTACGACTAATCTTGTCGATGCTGCGAAACCTCAGAAGTGTAATGTTGGGCATACCAGATATTAGATAATTCCTTAGATCTCATAATATTAATGTTAGCATTTTGAAAGACATGTTGAACAAATTTTTTCCACGCCGAAAAATGTGCCTTGTAGGAACCAACCATCTTCGTATTCGAACGACTCGGTATTTTTTAGCTCGGGCAATGAAAGGATAGCACGACGAATCCAGTGCGCTGCAAGCGCTCGATTGATCCCTTTGTATGCGCTTTGAGTTATTTGTCCTACTCTCTCTCACACTCTATGTCTCTTTTCTTTCTCTCTCTATGGTCTTTCAAATCACAAAATTTTTAACTTCTTCGTGACTATCCGAGCTTTTTACTATTAAAAGAGGAGTATATCGAAATCTTAAAAGCGTTTGCCATGCTCATGCAAACAAACTGTAAGCGCTTCGATGGATATTTGTGGGAAAGGTATGAAAGTGTTGATGCGCATAAAGAATATTATTTCGCGACGGGCATGTATGATCATTTGTGGGCTTAAAGTTATCACTACATAAAAACAATTGCGTTAAATAGGAATCTGTTTAATATTATTCAATAAATCTTCTATATATATAAAAGAGAGTTGTGTAAAAGTGTCCCGTGACTTATAACTTGATATGTGCTGGACCAATTTTCATAGTTTTTGATTTGTTGGATTTGTCTCCGCCACGAGTAGGATAGCAGATCTTAAAAATACTGAAAAAATTTGACGAATACTTGAAAAACGCGGTTTTTTCCCTAAAGATTCAAATTTCCATTGATACTCAGTAGCCTTGACAACAGTGACAGTTTTCGGTCCTGCTCTCATATTATACAATAGTATTTGTTTGTCTCAAACATAAATTTGTGTAAATTATTTATATTTATATTTCTCGATTGTTTTATGTGGTTTTGGCGAGGGCATATTCAGTGTTACTATTGATAAAAATGTCGCGTCCTAGAAGATCTAATCTTTCCCGGCGAACCCATAATGCAATAAGGCATCGGAATATCGCGTGTCAATTATCTGACGAAGAACGAGAAATCGCCCGAGAAAGGCGCTGCGTTAGTACCCAGCAAAGAAGGGCATTAATTCGTGCTTCTCAAAGAGAGGCAGCCCGTGAAACGGCAATAAGAAATGGTTCAAGGATTGATTTGAATCGAGCAGCGTTTCGATATGATTGCACCATTGACTACAGCTTGAATCGTTTAGTTTGCATTGGTCCAATGGACGTTGTTTGCCAGCATTGTGGCGCATTGAAGTTTGCTGGTGAAAAGCCCGGTTTGTGCTGCCTTAGTGGTAAGTGACATTGCCAATAGTGGTCCCGCCACCAGAGCCATTGCTTTCCCTGCTTTATGGCGAAACACTAGAATCACGACATTTCCTAGCGAACACTCAAAAATACAATGCCTGTTTCCAAATGACATTTGGGGTGGAAATTATTGGAGACGGATATAATCTGACATTTAAGGTAATTTACGTTAAAAATTTTATTTTCTACGATTGTAAAAAAAAAAAAAAAAAAAATTGGAATAATGTAGTTTGTTAAATTTCTGTAAAAAGTGTTTGTAAAAAAATCTAACTATAACTATGGCTTTGAATTTAAAGATTCAAGGCCAGATTTGCCATCGCAAATAAAAATAAAGATGTGGATGACCTTAATTTTATAATTCAAAATAAAATCGTTGGTACTCTGTATTCATTCAAATCTATCGACTGTGTAACAAACGAAGAAGAAGCCACTAATTATCCAACTGAATGCGCCTGGTTTACCACCGCACAATTTACAACTGAAGGTTGGCTCGGTAGTTATCATGCTTAGAAATTTAAACCAACCAAAACTGTGCAATGGAAAGCGTTTGGTGATAAGAAAACTGATGAGCAATGTGATTCACGCGTCTATACTCAAAGGAAAATTTAAAGATGAGGAAGTTCTTATTCCTAGGATTCCGATGATCCCAACAGATATGCCCTTTGAGTTTAAACGAATTCAATTCCCGATTCGTCTTGCCTTCGCCATGACGATCAACAAATCACAGGGCCAATCTTTGACTATTTGTGGCCTCAATCTAGAAAATGCGTGTTTTTCTCATGGTCAATTGTACGTGGCATGCTCACGTGTTGGCAAACCATCCGCATTATTTGTTCTTGCAACTGACCAAAAAACGAAGAATGTCGTTTACCACAAGGTGCTTGAATGAAAATTCGATTAATAAATTATTCAGAGTGTATCCCAACTTGAACAACATAGCTTTCAACAATTTTTTACCTAGAAATAATGGATAGGGCAATGGAACGTTTGCCGGGCCAGCTAGTTTATATATAAATAGAAAACATAAAATTAAATATGTAAAAAACAAGTCAATAAAATTCATTAATGGCAGTTTAATAACGTGTAGGCACTATTTTCATATGTAAATGTATATGTATGTTTGCACGCTCAAGCCAGTTGCGTAAAGAAATTAAAATTTCTGGGCGACGAGCCCATTTCCCTCCATTGCCCTTCTGATTGAAGAGTATACTAGACTGTTAAAGGAGTTTACAATGATAATGTAAAATTTTAAGATTATTAATATTATTTGTATGAAGGGTATAAAAATGTGTTGCGTTCAATGAGAATGTTTTTACTTACATGTATACATGTCTAGTCTATGTATTGTTTGGTCACTGATATTATAAATTATGATAACGTTTTGAAAGTTTCATGAAAATAGCCCCACTCCAAAAGATTATTCTACAAATAAATTCTCATAATATTACCCAAATTGCAGCCCGAGCGCAGTCGCGGCTTACTGCGCAGCTAGCAGAGTGCGTGTATGTATCAAAGAAGTCAGGGTATATCCGACCAGTCTCGAATAGATGTTTCTTATTTGTTTTACATATTTAAAATATAACATGTTTGCTAAATATTTTTCTTTATATCATTTTTTTCAGAATGATACGTTTGAGACCGAAATCAAAATATTGCAATGTTCGTACTATAGTAAATTGGATTGTCTAACTGAGGTCGATAAGTAAGTAATGTTTTAACCTATCATATAATGTCGGGCGTTACCAATTGCAGAATAATCATTCACATCCGAAACGCAACCAACCCGAGTATATGTGTAGTTCAATTTTCAAGTCTCTAATGCGCATTGAAAAATCGTCTATAGCTGTCCTACGAAAAGGAGGTCCGTCAAAAGGTCCAGAGTAGAGGTGGGCACGGGCCGGGTTTTTATCGGGTACCCGTGGGCACCCGCGGTTACCTGTGGGTATGGGCTAAAAAATCGTGTTTCGGGTTGGGTGCGGGCGGGTGCGGGTTACGCCGCTCAACCCGTTTAGAAATTGATAAATATTATGCCACACGCTATAATTCAAACTTGTCAATCTTAGATTTATGGCAGGAGGCAACGGACCTTAAATTGTGCCAAAAAATATTTTATGTATTCGGGTAAGCTGTGCAACAAGCGAGCGAGTACTCTCCTCCTCTGGAAAAATTTTAAATGAAAGGCGAACAAGGGTATTAAGCGCCAATCTTGATATTCTCCTTTTTTTTATATAAAAACCTGTAATATTTATGTAAATAATATTGTAATTTTTAAGAATTAAATTATTATGTTTGAGAACAAAATATTTGTTGTAATTTTTCAGAATTACATTTTTTGCCAGTGTATCGGGCGGGCGGGTTGGGTGCGTTTATGAACATTTTTTTTGCTTTCGAGTACGGATACACTTTTGAACTTTTGAGCGTGGGCGGATCGGGCCGGGTGCAAAAAAGTCGGCCCGTGCCCACCTCTAGTAAACAAGTAAGAAAGTTGCAGTCGGGCGTTACCTACTGCGGAGTACTCATTCACATCCCATCAGCAATTTAGTAGCTAAGATTCATTCTAATAGATAGGCGTAATAATTGGCGTAGACACCTCATTTTTGGTCAGTTCTTAGAACGTGATAACGGTACCCTAACTGCAAAGTTTGAGCGCTTACCCTCAAAAAATGTGAAAATTACAGGGAATTTTTCGATATGAGGAGGTTACTAGTAACTTAACTATCTAAATTTGATGGTTCTAGCTATTATACTTTAGGAGATATAAACTTTTGCAGTTTGCCACGCCCCCTTTGGGCGGACATATATCCGACATAGCTTTTTGGTCTTGGGTGATCAGCCTGAGCATATGTACAAAATATGAGGTCTCTAGCATCAATAGTGTCCAAAATATAGCAGAATTTAAAAAATCACTATATCTTCAGGTCCGATTTGCCACGCCCTTAATGGGCGTAGACTTAAAATTTTTCTTTAGACTTTATAGAATTATGACATTAGCTGACGTGCGAAAATTCAGCGCTCTAGCTGTAAAACTCTTGGAGATACAGTTTTATCCGATATGGTCGTAGATTTATAGTTTTGTCTTTAGACTTTATAGAATCATAACATTAGCTGACGTGCAAAATTTCAGCGCTCTAGCTGTAAAACTCTTGGAGATACAGTTTTATCCGTTTTGCCCCCAATGGGCGTAGATATATCCGCCATAGCTCGTGATCTATGGTGGTCGACGCGGACCTACATACCAAATTTCAACTTTCTAGATTTTCAACTAACATGATTTCTGGCATATCGAAAAATGCAATTTCCGATTTGCCACGCCCCTAGTGGGCGGATCGGGAAAATTTTAACACTATAAATCGGAGATATACATGAGTATGTGTTTTATATTTCAAGTCTCTAGCTTCAATAGCGCCGAAATAGATTGCGTTCATACGGACAGACGGACAGATGGACGGACGGACAGACAGACAGACGCACGGACAGCAAGACGGACATTGCGCAAAAATAGTATACTAATTCACTTTCGTGAATGAGTATAAAAAAATTAACATCAGTTGCACCGATCGGGACTCGAACCGCGACCTTTCGATCAAGTGTCACGCAGCTACTCACTTCACCACCTCACTTTCGAGAGCTGCGATGGCAAAACTGAAATAGATTCACTGCTGCAGCGCCATTTAGCAAAACTAAATCAAACTAACTGCTGATGTGATTCTAAGAATCTGCTAGTATATCCAAACTTTTAAATACGCACATTTAGTATGGTTAAAATTTCAATTCCGGTGTATTTAGAAATATAAATTAAATAGAAAACTCATTTATGAAAATATAAAAATATTTTGAAACAATTAAAAACAACCAACATCAGTTGCATCGATCGGGATTCGAACCGCGACTTCTCGATCGAGCGTCATGCAGCTAACACACTAGGCCACCCCACTCCTGCTAGTGACGCTGGCAGAACTGAAATAGATTCACTGCTGCTGCGCCATCTACCAAAACTAAACGAAACTAACAGCTAATGTTATTCAAAGACTGCTCCAGAAGTAGTTTGAATGTATGTGTGCACACGTATACGATGCTGTTGTGCTGCTGCACGTGCGTTTGTTAATTGGCTAAATATTTGATTATTTTCAATTAATTTTTGACTTAATGGAATTTAATGAAACTTTCAGCATATGATCTACATATTATATTGAATATTTGAGAGAATTAACAAAATGAAAAATTATTCACAATTAGCTATACTGGCATCTGACTTGAACTTTAATGTTTTTATTCGATAAAAACATAACGGGATGATTTATTGAATTTTAAAATCAAACTCGACATCCGCGCTGTATATTCAAGTCACTAGCTCTCATATCTTCGGAAATCGACGCGTTCAAACATACGGACAGACGGACGGACGGACAGACGGACAGGGCCAAATCAACTCAGCTCGCCGCCCTGATCAAGAATATATATATACTTTGTGGGGTCTGCCACGCCTCCTTCTCCCTACATTTCAACAAAACCATTATACCCTAATTTTCCCATTGAAAATGGGTTCAGGAAAAAAAAAAACGAGGGCATATATCCAAAAGCTTTAACAATAGCTTTTATATCTAGTACATCTTAGCATCTCGGATCTTCAAATTACATGCAAAATTTACATAATTTCTTTTTATACCCATTTAAATGGGATTTCAGGGTATAATTGTTTAGTTGAAATACATGTAGCAGGTAGACGGAGGCATGGCCCCGTAAATTATACAGTGCTTATCATAATTATAGCCCACCCTGCAACTTAAACTTTGAGCCCGTTGTAACAACATTTTTAAGGTTTTTTAAAAATAAATTTTACAGCACTTTATAGACTGGAGTATGTTCAGTAGATTTTATCAAAATTTTTGTTCAATTTATGGAAAACTAAGAAAGAACCGTTAACTTTTGCTATGTACTAGCATTTTATTTGCATTTTATTGAGTTTATTGAGTGCGGAACAGCTTTACAGACATTGTAATTAAGTAAATTTAGATAGTTTTTAAGAGATGCCGCTTGGAAAACAGTTATCTTATTATGAAAAGAGCCGTAATTATTCACTTTTCGAGTCAGGAGAGTCTATTTCGAGTATTTTACGAATTTTGAAAAGAAGTCAAAGTGTAATTAAAATTTTTTTTGATAACCCCGAAGAATAAGGATCAAGAACACGTATTGGTCGAAAATCGTTACTAATTGCTCACGATAAACGCAAAATTATTAAGAAAGCCAGCAACAGCTCAACCGCTTGTACAGCTTTGGCCTCACATGTGGGCGAATCTATGTCAGCGATGACTGTTTGGCGAGTACTTAATAGCTCAGGAATCATAAAGAGATCTAAACTGCCCAAACCACCCAAGTTGGTAAGTCGCCACAAGGTTGCTCGACTTGATTTTGCCGAAAGACATACTGCGACCGATCTGACATACGCGCGTTTGAATCATTGTCTTTTGGCTTACAGTATATTTAAAAATTTTTACCCTAACAGGTCATATTTTCTGATGGGAAGAAGCTTAACCTGGATGGGCTTGATTCTTATTAGCATAGAAAGGATCCTATGTTTTTTTTCAAGGAAAGACTTTGGAGGTGGCTCCGTCATGATTTGGGGTACATTTTGTTCATTCGGTACCTTGGAATATAAGTTTGTATCGAGCCGAATGAACAGTGAAGAGTATATTCAGACTCTGGATAGTAGTCTCATTCCATATTGAAGGGAATTACGTTAGAAACCAATGGTTTTTCAACAGGATAATGCCAGAATCCATGTAAACAGACGTACAAAGGAGTGTTTGGAGGAATGCCATGTTGATGTTCTTGACTGGCCAGCATGTTTTTCAGATCTCATCCCGATAGAAAATGTCTGGCGTAATCTAACAAGACGTGTGTATGCCAAAAATCGCCAATTGGAGACAATTGGATATCTTAAAAAGCAAATTCTAAATCAATGACAAATTTTCGAAAAGGACCATTTATAAAATTTATTGGTTTCAATGAGGAAGAGAATTTTTGAGTTAGCTAAGGCAAATGGAGGTCGGACTAAGTATTGACATTAGTTTTTCCATCAATCCGCAACGAATACGGATTTTTTTTTACCAAAATATAGGCTATAATTTTGATACAGCAAATGGTGCTGTTTTTCTTTGGTTTTTACTTCTTTTTCAGAAATCGTTATTAAATCGTTAATTTTAAATGAAAAAGTTTAAGTGGATTAAAAGTGGGCTATAATTATGATAAGCACTGTATATATCCAGGATCAGTGTGACGAGCTGAGTCGATTTAGCCCTGTCCGTCTGTCCGTATGTATGAGCGCGTCGATCTCAGAAGATATAAGAGCTGGAGACTTGTCCGTATATACAGAGCGGATCTGGAGTTTATCTCAAAAAATCGACAACTTTTCTTGTCAATTTGTTATCGATTCAAACATTATCGAAAATCACGAACGAATTAGTATTTTACTACTCCCGTTATTTTGTTAAAAATATTATCGAAAACCAGTAATAAATTTATATCTGGCACATCTTTACCTAGAGTCGCCAAATTTTAAATATGGGTACATATTTACTTTATAGAGTTTCGATTTTTGTCAAAATTTACCCCCCACCTCTAATTCACCCCGTCGCCCTCACATTTGTAAAACGCGTATTTCAAATACTAGAAACTTGTGATTTGGCAAATACATGCATATCT